AGACCCCCACCTGGCATGCCTCCCTCTCTCTTCCAAAGGAGCTGTATTGCCTGGGGGAGTTGGGGGAGGGGGTGGCCTAGGGATGGTTTTGGGATGTGGAGGGCAGCAGTGACTTAGAGGGTTGAGGAAGGGACTGAAATGGCCCTGGTCGTAGTGTAGGGTTTGGTGTGTATATGGAGGGGTTATCTGGGACCCAGACAACTGTATTCCCTCCCACCCTTTCTCCCTGAGAGGCCCGTGCCTGAGGAGAGGTCCACGCACCATTGAGAAGAAGGCTGCGGGATGGTGTGCTGCCCCGGGGGTGCCTGGGGGTGCCAGGGCCTGGGATCAGCATGCTGATCTGGGTCCAGTAGCCACGAGTGAGGCCTCGTGAGGCCAGGAAGGCCTCCTTGTTGAAGGTTTCACTGGTCACCTCTGGAGAAGGGGGAGGAGAAGGTTGAGGGCCTGGTGGCTAGGATCCCCCAGACTTTAGCTCTCCTCAGCCTCTCCCAAGGACTCTGGGTCTGAGTCTGGTGCTAGTCAGGGAGAGAACTAACATTTCTGAGTGCCTACAGTGTAGCAGGCATCCAGCCGACAGAATTCCTATAACAATTTCTGGGAACATTTGTTAGATCCCTATTTTACAGATGAGAAAACGAAGGTGCTAAGACACAGAGTGATTTGCTTAAGGTCACCAGTTAGTGGTGGAGCTGGGAAGCAAGTATTTGAATCGCCAGTTCTAAGTCCCCTAAACTATCTCAGGGCGCTGAGTCCTTAGTTCCAGAAACTCTGTCTCCAGCCTCAAGGTCTAGTCTTCTGTCCCAAATACCCAGCACCCAGCCCTCGCTCCAGGGATCCAGACTTAACCTCCAGGACCCTGTTCCCAGACATCCAGGCCCCAGACACAAAGGCCCGGTCCCAGTTCCCCCTCCCCAGCCTGACCTCCCTATGGTACCTGCAGTGTAGGTGAAAGGCAGAGTTGCCAGTTCCCCTGTCCGCTCCATGAAGGCTGCAAGCCTCGGGCACCAAAATCTGTGGCTCACATCATCTGGGCATCGCCGCCAGTCGGCCCGGAGACAGGCCTCTCCACAGTACAAGACAGCACTACACTGGGGGCTGGGGTCACAGGGAGTGGTGGGCACCGGTGTTAAGCTCTGTAAGTCCTTTGTCTGCCATCTGTCTGCCCTGCAGCTGCCCAAACTCAGTCTGTTTGTCTGTATTCTCTCTACCAGTAACAGCTTGTTTTCTTTCTTTTTAAAAAAATCCTCATCTGAGGATATTTTTCCATTGATTTTTAGAGAGAGTAAAAGGGAGGGGGAGAGACACAGAGAGAGAAACATCGATGTGAGAGAGACACCCACCAGGGCCAGGGATCGAGCCTGCAACCGAGGTACATGCCCTTGACCGGGAATCAAACCCGGGACACTTCAGTCTATCGGCCGACACTCTATCCACTGAGCCAAACTGTCTAGGGCAACGATGGCGAACCTATGACACGCGTGTCAGAGGTGACACGCGAACTCATTTTTTTGGTTGATTTTTCTTTGTTAAATGGCATTTAAATATATAAAATAAATATCAAAAATATAAATCTTTGTTTTACTATGGTTGCAAATATCAAAAAGTTTCTATGTGACACGGCACCAGAGTTAAGTTAGGGTTTTTCAAAATGCTGACACGCCGAGCTCAAAAGGTTCGTCATCACTGGCTCTAGGGCAACAACTTGTTTTCTTCACCTAATTTCCTTGTCCCTCACTCTGTCTATAGGGTCCCCCACCGGCCTCTCTGTTTGCCTGACTGTTGGGGTCTTCCTTCTCTCACTCATCTTGCAGGCTGCTCACCAGGGTGTCAGCTTCACTTCAAAGCTGTGCTTGTGACAAACATGGCAGGTTCGAGCCCGAAGGGAGGCAAAGGTGAAGCCTGGCTGGGGACCCCATGTCCGCATTGGGGTCTTGGCTAACTTCACTCCCAGCCTTGGGACCAGACTCTCCAGCTCTCTGAATGGGGGTGAACAGGGGCATCAGGCTGCGTGGTCCAGAAGTCCGGGCCCCCTAGGCCTCCCCACCCGCAGATACCAGATTTCTGTACCGGTGCAGCTGGGCATCTCCCACAGTAAGCTGTCGGGGCTTTCGAGGGTCTCCAGAGCCCATGGGGCAGGCCATGCTGTGGCAGAGGAGAGCATAGGCCCGAGGGGCCAGGTTCTCTGTCCATGAGCCCTTGCCTGCACTCCTCTGGGCTCCATCCATTAGCAGGTCAATGCCCAAGATGGTGCCATGTTCATCCGTCACCAGTAAGAGGCAGGCAAGGTGCAGGGGGGCAGCATCTGGGGAAGAAAAGTCAGAGGTGGGGGGTAGCAAAGATGATTGGGATCAGGGATATTAAACTCAAATGCCTACAGGGGGTAGGCAAGTAAACTGAGTAAAGGGAACCAGGTAGAGAGGATATGCCTTATCTTAAAGGGACAGCAGATACACAGTACCAGCATTTGCTGCCATTCTCTACTTTTTCTTAAGAAGGTGTAACTCCACACTTCCCGGAGTTTGTTTGTTTTTTTAAACAATATTTAAATGTTGGCTCAACTTAAAAAACAATGTGGGACTATAAAAACACCTTCTGAGGCCAGATTGGCCTGAAGCCACCCTTTTGTTTGTGGCTCCTAGCTGGGTTCTGAGTGGTAAGAGGGCTTCAGAGGGGGAGTATGTCTGCGCAGGGGATAGGGCAGGGCCAGCCCTGGCTTCTTACCACTTCTTCGCCCCTTCCTCCTCTTAGGCCCAGTTTCGTCTTCTGCCCTCTCGTCTTGACAGCCATTCTCGCCACCTCCTTCCTTCTGCTCGGCCTCCTCTGGCTGCCCTGGAAGATTTGCTTCCTGGGGGGATTCCCTGCTCGTGTGGACTGGCTCCCCATCCTCCTCTGGTTCTCCCTTCTCTGTGCCTGCACCCTCTTCCTCTCCATTTTCTTCCTCTTCCTCCTCTTCTTCTTCCTCCCCTTCCTCGCCTTCCTCCAAACTGACAAAGCTGACATAGGGGCTTAGGTCTCGAAGGTGGAGTGGGGGCTGATCTCCCAGCAGCCAGCCCGCCCCCAGGCCTGGTCCAGGCTCTGCCCCTTGCCCCAAGCTGATGCCCACACTACGGTTGGGCAAGACATGGAGCACCCAAAGGGCAGGGTCCTGGGGCAGCCTTCTGATCTGCGCCTCCAACTGTCGCCAGCGGCCCTCCAGGCTGGTCTCCACAGCCCCACGCTCTGCCACGAACTTTCGGAACCAGCCAAAGAGGAGGGCCGTGAAATCAAGGAACTCGTCTCGATATCCAGACACAAACTCCATGTCTTCAGGGGCACAGGGCCTGGGCGCAGACTAAGCCAGGGAAGGGGTTATACGGTGAGGGAAAGGCTGTGCTGAGAATTTGGGGCTGGGTCACACCATGGGAGATTGGGTTTAAGAGTCACGTAGGGTGAGGTCTGTAGGTGAGTGTTAGGATCTGAGAATAAAGCTTTCAAGGCCGAAGATGGGAATCCCGGGATGAGAACGGGAGCTGGACTTGAAAGTGGACCCTTCGGGTTAAAGATGTACTCAGGCGTGAGATGGTATTTGGGGCTGAAAATGTGAGGCTCCAACCCTCAGAAGCAGGGTTTGGGCTGGGAACAGAGATGAGGGAGGGCTTATCCTACGGGGAAGGGCTTGGCAAGGAGGGGAGAACTTGGGATCCGTCTGTGGGGTGTGGGAGGAGGGAGCAGGCGCAGGAGCATCCCTTCAGTTTGGACCGGGTTGCGGGGAGCCCCCGTAGACCTAGCCTCTCCTGGCCGTTCCGCTCCTCCGGTACCTGCAGCCGCCACCACTTTTCGAAGGTAAATACCTCGGGGTGGGGGCGGGGTGACGTCAGGGTTGGGGAGCCCGTGGCCCGCTCCTCGCGTCTGGGCGCCGTGTGTTCCGGGAGGCCCGCGGGCTTTCCTGTCCTCATCACCCCGGACATGTGACTAAATCCCGCGGAGCCGGGGAAGTGAAAGCATCTTGGAGGCGGTGGCCGGTGAACCCCACTAGTCTCCCAGGTCCCCAGGGCCGACCTGGGCAGGCGAGCGGCGGCGCGGCTGGGCATCCCTCCACCGCGCGGGTCCGGGTCCGCCGGTTGACACGCAGCCTCCTGCGGCGCCTCGCTCCGCGCCCAGGTTCCCTTGACTTTTTTTCAAGACGTTCCGGGCAACCCGTCCACGGAGCCTCCC